CATAGTAGCCAGTATGGGGCTGTGCTTTGAATCTGTGCTCACAACAGTGTTGATAATCCTAGAACGGTTTGGGCTGGAAGAAGCCTTAAGGATCACCTTGTTCCAACCCCTCTGACATGGGCAGGGACACCTTCCACTAGACCAGACGTTCATAGCCCCATCCAACCTGGCCTTGAACACTTCTAAGGATGGGGCAGCCACAGCTTCTCTGGGGAACCTGCACCAGTGAACACCAGGATGCTTTTGTTATTGCTGAGCTTACATAGAGACAAGGCCTTTTCTGCTCCTTGTCCCTCCCCGCCATCAAGGAGGCTGGATGCGTACAAGGAGCTGGGAGGGGACACAGTCAGGACAACTGACCCCAACTGACCCAAGGGATATCCCAGATGATAGATATGGAGTCATCCTCAGCAATAAAAGCTGAGGGAAGAACAAGGAAGACAGCAACACTGGGAGTGATGGCATTGGTCTTCCTAAGTCACCCTTACACATGATGTAGCCCTGCTGTCTTGGAGATGGCTGAACACCTGCCTGCCAGTGGGCTGGGGTGAATAAATTCCTCATATTGGTTTCCGTATTAAACTGTCTTTATCTCAGCCCACTGGTTTTCTCACTTTCACCCTTCTAATTCTCTCCCCCATCCCACCAGGGGAGTCAACAAGCAGCCGAGTGGGGCTGAGTTGCTGACTGGGGTTAAAACACAGCTTTTTAATAAAACCTACAAGAATCCATTTAGTTTTTGAGGCACGTAAACTAGCGAATTTTGTGAGTTAACACTGTTAACCATCTTGACAGACACTCAACTTCACTCCTTCCCAAGACGTTTGTCATAATTCCAACCCAAGTCATGACATTGTACTTAAAACTAAGCATTCATAAAGGCAAGATAATTATTCCTCATAAAATAAAATCTTCATCAGATAACTACAGGTCTTATTACTTTGTTTGAATAGTTACAACTTTCAAATGAGCCACCAGCTGGAGAATTTGAGCTGTTTTATCATACAGCCTTTGTAAGAAGACTATTTCCAGGGCTACCAGTTTATCCCACTATTAAAAAGCAATGGGTGAAATCAACACCACACATTCTTACTTTCCTATTCAAGTATGTTTTATGTTACCCACTAAATCCCAAAGAACATTTTTAATTGGTCTGTACACTTTAAGACCATACCTGTGTACGCATGGTTAAAACATCTAACCTGAATTAGTAGCAGGCTAATTTGGTATCTAAACTAGTCAGACTACTATTGAAAACTATTCATACCCAAGCGCTGCTGTCTTGAAATTCTCAGCTAGGAGAGGCAATACAGCAAAGTTTAAGTGCTGTCCAAGCACTAAAAAAAAAAATCTAAAATCCCTCTAAGAAATAACTGATAGCTTCCTAGCTGTCAACATCTGCTCAGCATCCCTTCCTGTGAGGGAAGGTTGTAGCTTGTTGCCTTAATAAGGAACAAGTTCTTTGTTCTAATTATTAACAGGGAAGAAAATATGACTGTTATACAACTACTGAACAACATTCAAACTTAATCCCTGAGTTCTCCTTGGGGCTCCTAATATAAAGGAAATAACTTCTGCTGGCATCTCCCAAGAGAAACTCTTCAGACAAGACAATATAGGCCATGTTTAAAAGATAAAAAAAAAAACAAACCACAAACAAAACTTAAAAAAAAATAATTAAAATTACAACTGCTGAGAATCAGAACAGTTTTAAAGAGAACTAAAAAAACCCCTAGGCTACTGATTCCTTTTCTTGATTGCAAAATTAATATGGAGAGGAGTTACAAATAGCTGTTATGTGGCAGTTGAGATTTAAAGCTTGCTCCAGTTTTTAAGAAATTCAGGAAAAAAACCCAATACTTTGGCATTGTGTAGTTATATCCTTAGATTTTGTTACGTGTTACTGCCATTGTAAATCTACTGTCAAGCAATGCTGGTATCAAAAGTGAAACTAACTGTATATAACTGAAATCAAAATCCCTTTTGCATTTCAAAGAAAACTACATACAGTTGGTAAATAAGAGATGTTCGGAAATAAAAAAGCCACTTCAATTTTCAGTCTAGGTTTAGCAACTTTATGACTTGTACCCTTAAAAACACCACCTTGAAGTAAAAATCACGTAGAAAAATCTAGTAACTGCAGCTGTTTTTGCAAGAGCACAAAATACTCCAGGTAACAGGTACCAGCACCACAGACCAAGCCCAAGGAGCGGGTCGTATCAAAGGAAAAGAAAACCCCTGTCACACCAGTCACCACACAAAGTATCAAGAATCATACAAGTTTGTTTTTCACACCTCCACACTTTCTTTCTTACAGATGAGAAAATGCAACCAAACACATCATCTACACCAGACACAAGTAAAAAAACCCAGCACTTCAGAGAGTATATTTTCAGAAGCTGCATCTCCTCCCATTTTGGAGGGGGGGGTGGGAAGGGGGAATAACCCACCCTCTGCCAAACAGGAAGGGAAAAAACAAACAGGGAAAAGTTTAAAAACTTGGCAACTACCAAATCAATCCATAATGCAAACTCCACAAATAATTCAAAATCTTTTCGGAAGAGAGTTATGCAGTAAACATTATCCTACTGACAACCCCTCCCACCCATCATGCAATTAAAAGTCATCAGGAATTTATTTTTTGTTTAATCAAAGGTATATACACTCAAGAGCACAGGTTACTATCTCATCCTTTCCTTTTAATTTTTTCTGCATTTCACACAAGAAAATTACTATTGCACACCCACTGACATTGTGTCACAGTAAAAGCATTAGTTTTCTTTATAGATGTTACTTTAAAACGATTATTTTTGTTAAAAATTCAAACTTTTAAGTGTGTTGGTGATTTTTTCAATTACGTTTTGCAACAGTTTGACAAAACAACGTTTTTTCTAATGAGTCCTTTATATAACATAAAAAGTACAGGAGTGGTGGGGAACTGAATATAAATACATACTTTCCAGAAAGTTAACCCTGTTTTAAGAAGTTTGCAGATTTCAGCTGTCTTTTTTTTTTTTTTTTCATATTGACTAGGCACCAGACGACACGAGGAGAAAATACATTAACCTTATTTCATCCTATTTCAGCAGCTGATGCTGTGAACCCACAGGCAGGACATCTGCACTTGGCAGAAAGCAACTTCCTTTACGAGAGGAAACACCTACACGCCGATTTAATGGCACACGCCCCAGATAGGGTGGGTTTGGGGGGAAGGAGGCGAGAGCGGGTGCCTTCTGGGGGAAAAGCAGGGTCTGTTGGACCAAAAACAGCCCCGAGCTGGGCTTCTCCAGCAGCAGGAAGTTTCCAAGGGGCCTTGCCGGGCATGCGCCGTGGGCTCCATGGTCTCCCTATGTGGCAAGAGTGCAGAGGCAACAACCAAGCGAATAACAGAGACAAGAGATCAAGAGCAACAAGCTCCCTCCCCTCCGTCTTCCTACGGCTGCCTCCAACACAGCCCTCCCTCGCCGGGCCGATCTCTCGGCCCAGGCCCTCCCGCATCCATCGCGGGGAGCTGGAATTAAAGAGAGTCAGGCAACCAAACCTGCTTCTGGAGAGAGGAGGGGAGAGGAGGAGCAGCTCGAAAGCGAACGGCGGAGTGCACAACCCATCCCTCCACCTCGCACGTCTCAGGTGGCGGCGGGGGAGCAGCCACAGCTTATCCCCCCCGCAACTACAGAGGGGATGAGGGAGGAGGGGGGAGAGGAGAGGGATGGAGGTGGCACACAATGGCTGGCTGTGTCTGTGGGGAGGAGACGGCCCACAACAGCAGGGGGGGGGGGGGGGCTCGGGGCCTCCCCGCGCCCCCCATTCCTCATCCCACATACACAGAGAGGAAAGGGGCGGGTGGGGGGGAGGTCAGTGGGGATCAGGACATTCCCTCGTGTGTTCCCTCCTTGTTTCGGCCGACAAGCAAAAACAGACAGATACATTAAATATATAAGATATATGGGGGGGAGGGGGCTTGTGAAGCGACCCCCAAGCTGGGGGGAAGGGAGGAGATGGAAGAGAGAGCGGCTGCCGGCGCCCAGCTGAACGAAAATAGTTATTTCAGCTTATCCCTCCTTTCTGCAAGGAGTCCCACCCGCACAGAGCTCGAGAACGAACCCAGGGAAACGTCGGGGGGGGGGGGGGAGGGACGGAGGGGGGTCACAGGCGGCACTGAGAGCGAGGAGAGGGGACGGGCGAGGTGCCCCTACTCCTTCTGGTGCCCTGCCATAAACCGCCCCCCCCAACAAATAGCTGCTCCCCCCTAAAAAAAGCAGGGAGCGAGGGCTCCCCTCCCCCCGGGAATCCCAGGCCCCTCCTCTCCCTCGGCGCGCTCCACCCCCGGGGCCGGGAGGAGGCGGGGGGGGAACAGCCCCGGCCCCCCCCCTCCACCCCCTGGGCCCCCCTCAGCCGGCCGGCCCGGCCCGGGCGGGCGGGGGGACGTGTCGGGGTCGCTCACCCTGGTCTCCGGGCTCCTGCGGCGGTTGCAGGACGCGCTCCAGCTCGGGGAAGGGCAGCTCGGGCAGGTCCAGCAGGGCCCCGTAGCGCTCGAGGAAGGAGCAGACGACGGCAAAGTTGGGCCAGGAGCCCGGGCACCGCGGGCCCGCCGGGGCAGGGGGCGGCGGGGATGGGGCCGGAGGAGCCGCCGCCGCCGCCATCTTGGACCTGGGGATGGAGAAGGAGCTGGGGAGGGGGAGGGAGGAGGGGGCGCTGCCGGGCCGGGCCGCCACTATCCCACAATGCACCGGGGGCACGGCGAAGGCAGGGGAGGGCAGGGGGCGGCGGCCAGAGCGGCGCGAGCCAGCTCCCCTCCGCCGCGCGCGGCGCGGGGGAATGAAAACAAGGCGGGGCTGGGGCGGAGCGGGGCGGGGACGGACCGCAGGGCTGGCCAATCGGAGCGGGCGGAGGCGGGGAGGGTGGGGAGCGCTGGCCAACGAGAGGGCGGTAGCTGGGAGGCCCCGCCCCTACCCCGCGGGGGCGGGGTGGAGGCGGGGCGCGCCGGGGCAAAGGGTCCGCGCGCGCGGGGCGGTGAGTGCGGCGCGTCGGGGAGCTCGGCGTGAGGGGCGGCGGGGAGGGAGACTCCGGTCCTGGGCCGAGCCTGGGCCTTGTCACGGAACCGGTCCTCATCCCAGTCCCCGTCTTGGTAAGGGTACTGGTCCTGATCCCAGCCCCGATCCTGGTCCTGATCGGGGTCCTGGTCCCGGTCCTTGTGCCCCGTCACGCAAGTCCATGTTTCGAGGGGTTCCAGAGCTGTACTTTCCCTTCTCCCTTTTCCCACTCCCATCCCGTGGTGCTTCCCTGGGTTCTCTGTCCTCGCCTCCTTCTTCTCCCCACTTTGTTCCCAAAGTGCTGTCCCCTCCTTCTCTTACCAGCGACCCCCTTCCACCGTGACCTCCCCGATTAATTCGTCTTGACCAGGCTCCCCGGCCAAGTGGGATTGCCGAATTCCCAAAATATGTTTTTCTCCTTTATAAACTTGAGATCTTCCCCCTCCCTACACAGCTCGCTTAAATTTCTCCCGGCCTTTCTGCTTGCCTTTCTGCTGTCTGTTTTTAATCCTGACCTGCCTCTCCAGCTGCTGTGTCCCCCGGAATGGGAAGTCTCTCACCTCCACCTCCTGACCCTGTTCCCAGGCAGTACTGGAGAACCACATTGTCTTCTGATCCCTTACAGGAGTTTGTTCTGCCCCAAATTTCACATACACCAGTTTTCTCTTTCACTTTTTTCTTCCTTGGTCTCGGGTTGCCCTTTGGATTTTATGAAACATTTCTTTCCTTCTGCAGTGTCTTGATAAAATATTATCAGGTGCACTGCCCTTGTTCACCTCTTTTATTCTATTTGTCATTGGTGGGTGCTGCTCTGGAACAGAAGACAGGTGTGCTGGCAATCTCAAAATCCACCTGCTTGCACAACTGCACTTCAGTCTCAAGTTTCTTCCATTTCGTTCTCAGCTACTTTTGTCTTCTGCCATCCTTAGCCACTGCTTCATTTCTCTCTTTCCCTATAGTCTCCTGGCATAAACTTGGATTTTGCCTTGTTTCAAGTTCTGCTTCCTTTATTTCTGATGTTTTTAAACTTTCATGACTTTGCTTACAGAGCCCCGAACCATTTCTTCTCCTTTTCTCTTTGTGTTTCGACTACCACAGTTTACAGAAATTGCTATTTTAGGTTGTACTTTCAAGTCATTTAGTTCAAGGTCTCTTTTATTTTAAGTGTTACTATATGTTTTCATACTGTACATTTCTCACAGTCAGTAATTTAAAAAAATAATTTGTCCGAGAACTGTTTTCCTACTCCTTGGTGATTGGACCATGCCCCTCATCAAAGAATGTCCAAAGTTCTTGTCAATAAGTTCATTCTTATTTACTCTAGTCTAAGATACTCATATTTATTCAAATAGCCTGCCCTTACTGATATTCTCTGGCAGTATTACGGGAAATAGTTTTAGATTACCAATTTGTATTTATGCCATGTAAATTTTGTTTCTTCGTTTCTGCTACTTACTTGTTTCTGTGCTCTTTGGAAAAGATAGCATGGAATCCTTGCTCTCCCATTTGCAGTTTGTGCCTGTTTGATTGCACAGTTCCAGTCTTGTAGTACTGTTTGGATTAGGGAAGCTGATATTCCTGATCATTTTATCGTTCATTCACCTCTGTCCAACCTCCAGGTCTAATTCCACCATTTCCTCTCAAAAGTAGTACACTCAAAAATTGTCTTCATTCTTCAGAGCCAGGTTCTGGGAGGTTTGTTCCACCTTTACTCTTCAATTTCATTTTGTTGGGACTACTGCTGGTTATTTCTTCAACTACAATCTCCCTTCAGGCAGACTTTTGGAAAAAGAGTCATACAGGCCTTTGTTTGAATCCCTTGCATCGTGGTTGTGTGATGAGAGAATCTAGGATATATGAATCCAAGCAAGCTCCAGTCCCCTGTAGCTTCTTGCCTGGCTTCCTGTTCAGCAGGACATATGTGCCACAAACATCACACAGTAGTGAGAAGGAAAAGAATCGCCCCACTATCCTGTGTGAGAAGCACCTCTGGCAAACTCAGTCCTATGCTGGATCCAAAGTAATGCCTTTTTTCCTTCATGCAATGTTTTAGGCGGATACTGAGACCTGCTCCTGGCAATCTGAGGAGAGCATGTCCCATCTAGCTGTGCTGTGTCTGTTGTAACACGTGCAAGATGGGAAGGGAGGCTTCCAGGAGGACTGGAAGCCTGGTCATCCAAAGATTCCTCTTTTGCAAGGGCAGTGCCTTTAATCTCTGCCAGCAGGGTTCCTATGATGAATTTACACAATTCAATTCCTGGTAAATTTCAACAACTAAAAGGTAAAGGATGAAAATCTGTGTATCTGGAAGGATCCACCACAGAGATTTTCTGGATTAGCCAGAGGTGGAGCCTCTTTTTACTGCAGAAACAGCCAGTTTTCTTCATAATGCGGATTTCAGACCAGGCGAACTGGAAGGGCGGAGAGGTGACTCTCCCCCTGAGATGTGTCAGTGGACTGCCACGCTAGTCTAACACACTTCCAGCGTATATCATCACCCTGTGATTCCTCTCTTTTCCTCTGCTGCCCCAATCACACCAGCAATCAGACTGCAGTAACATGAGGGACTGTGAGGAGGGTGAAAGCTTCGGTGGTGAGATAACACGATTAGATAACACGGTACTTTGTGAGGCAGAGCCCCTGCCCTGGTGGTGCCCAGCAGTGCCTGTGACAGCAGATCCAAACATTGCTGCGGCACACACCAAAAAGCAGTTGGTCTGTAGCGGCACCAATAAGGCTCTGTCTAGTTCCAGGCAATAGACCTCAAAGAAAGATGCATGCCAGTTGCTGGATGCCACAGAAAAAAAGGAGGAAATAAGCAGAGATTTAGAAAACATGACCGAAGGGAAGTTTATTTGATCCAAATGAAGAGGAAAAAAACCTGAGTGAAATCCTCAAGAAAACAAAAAAAAATGGTGAAAAGGACAAAAATTAAGCTGTTCTACTTGTCCCCAACAGAAAAATTCAGAAACAATGGGTTTAAGTTGAAACAATGAAGATTGAGGTCAAACAATTAGACAAGTTGCTATTTGGATGTATAACTATTGTGGGAGACTTGCCCTCTGTCAGGAGGGATGGGGGAAAGAAGGTTTGACCCCTTTACACCCCTGGAAGTCTTGTTTGCTGTAGCAATATGGCAGTGCCACTGTTTGGTTCATGGCTTTTCTGTTAGGTTTGTTTGTTTGGGATTTCTTTTTAGCCTCATTTGCCACTTTAGTGAAGCAACCAAGGTAATAGTGTAGATCTCAGATATTTTAGGAAATTATTATCATCTTCATTGTACATTTTAGGGAGAAGATTAAAACCCAGATGTGAGAGGATATTCTGGCACTTGATCCCTGTTGATAGTTTTTAAAGTTGAACACCCAGTACTTGTACAGATTTAGCACATAAAATGATTTGCCCAAAATCCTGCACAAAATCCCGAAGAGGACTGGTAATTCAACAAATCTGCTGATCCTCAGTTCAAGTCTGTTGTCACAAAGTCACATGGATGAAGTCTGTAATAGTGTTTCCTTCCTAGCTCCTTGGGGCAAGGACAGAATTTTCCGTTTTTATTAACGTGCTGCATATGTTGGCCTGATGTTATATATTAAATATCCTTTTTCCAGACTTTGTTTCAACTTTGTGATGTCTTCCCCTGAAATTGCTTCCCTTTCTTGGGGTCAGATGAAGGTGAAAGGCTGCTCTACAACATATAAGGACTGCAAAGTATGGCCGGGAGGAAGCCGGACGTGGGATTGGCGAGAAACTGGGACTAATGTAAGTTCACTGTTTACTACCCTGCGTTTAAAACAGGGCTCTGAGAATGGTCCAGAGAACAGTTCCAGCCAGAAATTCAGCGAGTTGCCTTTTTCTTTCATCTAGCCATTAGACTTTTCCTGGTAAGAACTGAATGTACATTTCGGAGGTGACTGTGGAGAGGTCAGAGGGCTGCAGATGCACAGTGTCCTACATGCAACAGGGATGTAGCAGCTGTTGCCATCAGTCCTCACAGCTATCCTGACCAAATAACAATCACACACCTTAGAGCTTTCAAACAACATCCTGCATCTGGCTAAGAGGGCAATTGTCATAAGATACCAGTAGCAACCTCTCTTCAGACCATCTAAACAAAAGTTGTCTTGAGTGAGATAGGAAAAGAAATTATGAGAAGTAAAAAAATCAAGAGTCACTGACCTTACATGTTTGGAAGACAACAATGCATGTGGTTTAGTTTATATCCTTTTCCTTGGGGTCTCTTGTACTTATTTCAGAGGAAAAATATGCAGATGCAGTGTCATGCACTAGTTTCTGTGTGAAAAGCTCAGCCTGGCTAACCACACAGTAACTTCTCTTGGAAGCCTTATACTAAGTGCTTGCCCTTGTAATTTTTAAAGTTTATCTGTAAATGCAGTCAGAATTGTATAAAAGTGCATGGAACAGTGTTGGTGTTCCAGACTTAGAAGCAGTATTGAATCTATTGCGTTAGGAACTCAATGTTGATAATTCTCCCCGTATTAGAGCTTGCACTGGCATAGATGATTGGCTAGAAAAAAAAAAGTTCCATGCTTTCAAAGCAAAAGTTAAAGCACAGAAGAACTGTGTACTGACCAGGGCTTAGACCCAGCACCTGCAGCTGTATCCATGCAGAGGATACAACTGTTGAATTCATTTTGACACAACTGAAGTGCAGAACCTTTGGTTTCAGAACTTCAACTGTAGTATTTGGGGGAACAGAACTTTTTTAAGCCATCAGAGCTCAATTTATGCAGAGTAAGTTTATGCCAAGAGAAAGGTGGTGCTGTCGTGCAAACATATCTGCACCTTGCAGAGAGAAAGGTACCTGTATATGTAACCTTTTAAAATGTATTTCCTTTATGGTCTGATTATAAAAAACTAAGTTTTGACTGGCTGTTCAAAGGGCTGGGTCATGTGGTGAGAGTCACTGTTTGTTTGACAGTATTGTTTTCCTGGTTTATATGCACAGGACCTGAGAAGCAGAACATATAGGGTAGCTGAAAAGTTCCCAACTAGTTTCCAGGTCAGTCACATATCGATATTCATTCCAACCACTGAAAAACTTCAGTTTCAAATTATAAGCATTTATTGACATTAAGAAGTTGTGCTTTCTTTTGGAAGTTTCTAGCAACTGATATCTTAATGTCACAGATAAAATCTTTAAATCCATAAATTTTAGAGGAGTTCTGCAAATGAAACAAGAATAAACAAGTCTATGTTAAATTAAATTTGCAGGAGAAAAAATATGGTTGGGTTCTTTGGAGATGTAGGTTTTCTGCCATCCTTTTTATATAATCAGGAAGTAAAAAAATATCTATTTAGGGTTTGTTGCCTGTAAAGCTCCTGCTGTAGGTCAGTCCTATCCTTGCAGCTATAAGGAGATAGGTGATTTGCTTTTAAAACAAATAGCAGACAACAGATATTAAGAATAGAACTAAGCTTTCCTAGATTGCATCTCCAACTTGAGAAGAAGTGTAAAAAAATTGCTCAGTGGGATTCAACAGGTGCATTTTCTGCGTGGTTTTTTATGGTGTACTACAGTGGCCTACTTTCTTTGAGCGTGTTTTTCCTGAGGTAGATGGAACTGAAGTTTGGGAAACAAGCAGTGCTGGTCATGTCCCACACTCTAGTTGGAAATAAATTGCATCCTCTCCTTCTCTGCTGTCACACTGCTGTCTCATATGGCATTCTTTCATCAGGAAAATTGTGTAACTGGCCCTGCAGGGTTCTGTAGCTAAGCACTAATAGCCATATTAGACTAATGGTCCATATGGTTTAGTTTAAGGTAGTCCTGTGAATGATTCTCATGGATCCCTTCCAACTTGAGGTATTCTGTGATTCTGTGAACTTGGAGAACCACAGAGGTGAATCACCTCTGTTACTGAAACTTCAGATACCAGCCAGGCTAAAGACTTTCTTGTGGAATAAGTTTAATGCACTCATTGGAAGTTGCACTCTACCATGGAAGGCTTCAGGAGATCATTTGTTTCAGCTTGAGAAGCCTTACTTGCTTACTTACTTGACTTTCTCTCACTTGAAGTAGAGAAACATCTCAGACCTCTAAAAAGCTTCAGAATTCTACTAAAAAAGGGGGGAGAAATAGTGTTTATGGTTTAAAAATAGAAGTGCACACCAAAGAGGGGGCAAATTCTAGCCACAGGTTGTACAGAGAAACTGAATCCAGGAGAGTTAGTGTGACATAATAATATTTTATTTTACTATTGAAGGTGTATTTATGGATTCATATGTTTAAAGTGTGCTAAGAATAAATGAGTGTGCTTCTTTAAAAACTCAGTTAATGTATTATGAAAGTTCTTTCCTTCTTGGAGGGGTTTGGTTTCAAATATTCCTTTCTCAAAATAAAGAATAGTGCAGAAATGGAAGCTGTTAACTGAAATGAAGCTACCCAATACATTTCAGTCCTCTTTGGTAAATGAGATTTGCAAAGTAAACAAGAAAATAATTTAATCATTTTAATTATTTGAGGAGCTCTTTGTATTTAAAGTGAGTAAACTTTGGCTTGCCACAATCTTTCTTACAAAAAGATTTTGTTAATTTGAAATCAAACAGCAGCATGTTGCCATTTATTGATTTCACTTTAACTGTTAATATTTATAAAATGCCAGTAGTTAGACATAAATGTCTTAGAAATGTGTAATGTATCTTTTTTTTTGACTGTTTAATAAGGAATTATAATATAACCATCAATAGATTAACTGTCATCCTTCATCTGCATATAAAATACCTTTTTCAGTTTCTAGTGTTACCTCCTCTGTGTACGCAGAAAAGAGGGTTGTGTTACATTTTGGTGTGGCTAATTTACCCTGCTGCTCTGTGAACAGTTTCAGAACACACAGACCCAGCTTTCCTGGTTGATGCTGTCAGTATACAGACTATTATTTTCCTTCCCTGACACTTAGCATTCTCCAGGAGTGCAGCCCGCTGACCTTGAAGAAGTCGTCAAGAAGGGTGTTAAAACTGTGGTGATTGGCCGTGGAATGAATGAGGCTTTGCAGGTAGGTTTTTGTTCTGTGAGAAGCATAAACTAGCACTGGTTTTTTTCCTCTCCCTCTGATTAGGGAAAAAAAAAATTAAACTGAAGATGCTCTACTAAGAGGGAAGAAATTCAGGATTAGCATGACTGAGCTCCTGTCAGGGGTCCCTCTGAAAGAAAAAATATTTGAGTTCCTCTGTATTAGTGTCAATGTCAAGCAGTAAACAGGTTTATGTCTTGCTACAGGAGCAACTGAAACAAGGAGAATTTTTCAGTATGTCATTAGTCCTCTCCTCTTGCAATAGATGATAAACTGGCTCTCTAGCCTGCTATGAATACTTTGATAATTCGGCATTTTTGTTACTAATGTTGCCAGGGTGTCATTTCAGCAGATAAACTAGCTACAGAAAGCTCAGAAGTGCTGACTTTACTTCATTAGAAACAACTCTTTAGCTTTCTGGTGGGATGAGTAATACTTTATTTAGATTAAATACCTTTAGCTCCAATTCTATTTATCTTTGCAAGAAAGGACTGCATTTTAAAGTGTGCTAAAGAGATATATGAGGTGTAGATATAAAAGTAGCTTTATTGAAGAGAAAAAAATTAAATCAATCTTAGAAATATCGGAGCATATTATCATTTTGGCTATTAGCAGTTACTTAAGTGGTGCTTAACAAATGGCATGAGTGTTCTTCAAGCCTTCCAGTGTAAGGGGAAAAGAATCTAACACTTGCTTTTCCCATTTCCTCTTCTCTTCTGAGGTTCCAGTATCCACCGTGGACTATCTGAAGAAGAACGGGATTGATGTGTTGGTCTTGCAAACGGAGAAGGCTGTGGCAGAGTACAACACCCTGGCTGCTCAGGGGGTCAGAGTGGGGGGAGTCTTCCACTCAACCTGCTGAAGCATTACAGCTCATCCCACCTCCCCTGACTGCAGCCAAATCACGGACACACCTCTGCTGAATCAAATTACAGTCAACAGAGTGTGAACTCAGGTGCCAAGGCATTTGTGCGCTGACGGTTTATTAGTTCAGGATTTAAACAAATTGAGGGCTCACAAAATGGAGCTGGGAATGAAATTATTTAATTACAGAATAATTTCTGTATATTCTTAAGATTGGCCTAACCTTCCTCTGAAGGCTGTCCGTAGTCTGGTTACTTAACTTTTCACCTGTTGACTAAATCAGAAGGTTATGTTCTGAATGCTTTTATTAGAAAATGTCCCAAAATTACGTTATTGGCTATTGGAATGCAGCCATAAATTAGCTGATGAGCACAGTCAAGTGGTAGATCTGAAGCAGTAAGGAAGCACTTTGCCACCACTGGATAAAGTAGTTAAAAATAAAACAAAATTAAAAAGTAAACTCAGAATATGCAACTTTGCGTCCTGCTGGTGACTTCAGTCAGGATATTTGCTAATTCGTGAACATCACATAATGTAACACTTCTGAATTTTTTATTGAACCTGACAAAGAGGAAAACATCTACAGGGTATAGACATAAAATATGGGCCCTAAAGAATGTTCTTATTAATTGCCAGTTCTGAGGATTGAGTTGTCCAATACATATCTATTCAGAAATGCTTAAAATCATCTGAAAGATGCGTTACAAAATCAGAGTTTGCAGCAGCATAAAATGTTGATCCTTAGGAAATCAGTAGAAATTGCTGCTAGCAAGGTGCTGCTGGCAAGCTGGGGATGGTTGTGAGAATTATTGCTGGTTGTCATAATCTGATGCTTTAAATGCTGCACCAACAAGTATATTATTACACTGAAAATTTAAAAAGTTCTCTTGGTTGTTGTTCTTGGTGGGCTTCTATTAAGTAGATCTTTTTTCCCACCAGGGTCACTATTTCTTGTTCTGTGCATATTGATTTTGTATGTGTTAATGAAAGTACAGAGATGAGGCTGTACAAGCCCTGAGGCAGTTGGTGCTACTCAGGCAGTAGCAGAGAGGCTTAGATTGATATGAGAACACAATGACTCCCCCCAAATACTATGTTCTTTTTCTGTTTATTTGGTGTAGTAATCATTTAAAACCTTTTATCTGATAAAAAACAATGTGGTGTAAAAGTAAAGGGAAAGTGAGTACTTGAAAGTTTTATCATGCAATCTCCTAATTACAGCAATGTTTTCTGTTAGTGTAGCTATATTTGAGGCAAAATCTTATCTAACCCAGCAGGAACTGCCTTTCCAGCTGCATCTGTGTTCTGTGATGCAGCAGCTGGTAAAATGCTCATTGTAGCTACTGTGATATTTTTCTGAATAACTTGCCTGGCGTGAAGTAGAAGGTGAACCACTGACCTAGAAGACTGTGGTCATCCCAAGGGAATGCCAGCAGAACGAGTTCCTACCAAATCACAGAGTGTGAAGGCTTTTTGCATTAAATGTTGTTGTCTTACAGTGAAAATGGTTTGACTCTTGATTGTGGTCATATATTTGCGTTATTTTGTCGGCCTTTGGGCCTTAAGGCAGCCTCAAATAGGAAGAGGCTTTGTAAGGCTTTGGCTGAGAGGACAGTGCAGTACTTAAAAAACTGGAATGTGAATTACACTTAGAACTTGAGCAAACACCTTATCTTTCTCCTCCAGGTTATTTTTTTAAAAACATATTTTCATGTTAATGTGGCACATTAATGGTGATGCCACTTTCACCAAAACCGCTCAGCCCAGGTTCTGCATTTGAGAAAAACTGTGGGTTCCTCACACTGCTGCTGCTACACGATTCATCCTCCCAAAAGGCATGTGAGGAGCAGAGCCCATATTGCATTGCTAGGTGACTTTCAGAGGTGAGCCCTACCCAGCTTTGTGCTGCAGCCTCTTTATTCTTCCCTTCATCTGGCAATTTGTAGGATACAGAAGATTCCACTTCCAAAACAGGGAGCTGCAGTGTGCAAAGAAGTGGATTTCTGTTTTTAAAGGCAAACTGCTAAGTTTCACCACCACCAGTACAAAATTTCAGTGTCAACAAGGAGATTATCTGCTGCGAGTCTTTTCCATCCTTGTCTTCTATTGCTGCTCTCGTCACAGCTTCCTGAGTCAGCATTGTCAGTTCCCAAAAAGCGTCTGCTCCACTTGGGCTGCTCCAATCCCTGAAAGCCCAATTTCCTTCTTGGTGCCTGAAATCGCTTTGCTACATGGTGGAAACAGCTGGGACTGATTCATCAAAAAATTCCACCAGAGCTCAAACCAGTGTCTTTGTTAAATTGCTGCTTTCAGCTAGAGCCATAAATAATTCATTAAAATTACGGGCTCATCTCCCAAATCATGGGAATGCAGTTTTATAGTGCAGGATTTCTCACATACACCATTGCTCTGCCTCCCACCAGGAAAACTATGTCCCAGTAGGCAGTGAACTCCCACCCTGACACTGAAATTAAAGCCGAGCTGCGGCTGGGCTGGGAGCCAGGAAGATTCCACCCTGGCTGCTCCGCCGCCCAGCGGGTCAGTCCCCAGCCCTTATCTTTGTGCAGCAGCATGTGCGAGCTGGCAGCCAGGACAAACAGGCTGTAAAGAGGCTCACTGACACACCGAATGCAACACGACCAGCATTCTTAAGGGACATCAGGCAGGATTTGTGCAAAGCGTGGCATCCAAGAGCCTTCAACTTTGTTTTGGAGTCCCACTAATATGGCATTAGCAAACTGTAAAGTAAAAAGACAGCCTTTCTGCATTCCTGGTGCCTGCTACTAAGAATAAAATGGAAGATGCAAGTGAAATAAAACGAAAAAAGTGATTGTAACTCAGACAAGTGAAACAGGATTCCACAATAAATCCATTTCTGTCAGCTGGAACCTAAGATGACCTGCACAGTACCGTGCAGAGTGCAAGTCTTGTGAAGAGCAGCTGAGGAAGCTGGGAGTGTTCAGGCTGGAGGAGGCTCAGGGGGGACCCTATCTCTCTCTACAAGAGCCTGAAAGGAGGTTGTAGCCTGTGGGGGGGTCAGTCTCTTCTCCCAGGTAGCAAGGGACAGGATGAGAGGAAGCAGCCTCAAGTCACACCAGAGGAGTTTTAGACTCGAAATTAGGAAAAATTTCTTCCCCAGAAGAGTTGTGTCAAGCATTGGAACAGGCTGCCCAGGAAATCAATGGAGTTGCCACCCCTGGAAGTGTTCAAAAGACGTGTGGATGTGGCATTTGGGGACATGGCTTAAAGGTGGGCTTGGCAGTGCTGGGTTAATGGTTGGACTCGATGATCTTAGCAGTCTTTTCCAATGCAAATGATTCAATGATGTCATACAGTCCGATTTAAATGCATGCCCTGTTCTTCTGTCTTCCCAAGAACTTGCTTTGTACTTTTTGCACGGAGTGTACCTGCCCACTTAGGTCTTTTGTACTTTTTAAAATAAGGGAGGTGAAAGCTACAGCAGGTCCAAGTTAATGTCTCATAGGCTTCAACTTTGTTCCCAATACATTTATGCATTGTTTTAAGAGCTCTTGACTCCATAATTGCATTATTTACTTGCAAATTGGCCTAATGAATTTTGGTGGACTTGAGCAATCTAAATAGGAATTTCCCATTAAATGTATTCAGAGTTGGGCTTCCCCACACACAGATGCCATATGTAATTAAATCCAGAAAGTTAATGGTAAACAGGGCAACACATTTTCACACCACTAAGCTACACCTCTTTCACATGAGGTCAGCCTTTTCCTTACTCTGCCAGATTCTTGACCCTCTTCCCTTACCTCTAACTAGGAGGTACAGTGCAGAGGTGAGGGCTGTTTGAACATGGTTAGTTTTTAGCAAATTATTTGCCCTTCCTTTGTAGATTGCTCAATCTCCCTGTGGCAGCAGCTGTACTGGCACCGAGTTCCTACCCTTGGAGCCATCTGAGAGAACAGAATCTCCCTGTACTTGGCTGATTGTGATCTGAAGTCCTCTGTTCCCTCTTCAACAGAGATGAAAGATGCAAATTATCTTTGAGCATGAGTACAGCCCTTTGTTTTTCTTTTCATTCTGAGATCAATCATCTTATAGGCTATTGCAGGGCAGAAGCCCAAAAATTATCCAAAATAAATGGCAACTGGTGAATGGGTAGAAATACTTCTGAGATGACACAAGGTCCTGCAGCTCCACAAAGAGCGTGAACTCTGGTATTTTTGAGAGCAGAAAAACCTGGGGATGGGAAGAAAGAGCCAACATCCAGATTTAAACAACTACAGTAACACGTGCTTTTTATACAAATTTCCTTTCAGACTGCCCATATATTGGAACATGGTGTGAAACGGTCAGTCCCAAGCACAAATACAGGCTGGGTGGAGAAGGGATTGACAGCAGCTCTTTTCCACAGCCCTTCAGTATTGGATTCCCATTGGTAATACAGAAGGCAATTGATCTTTGCCTAATATGTTGCATGGAAGGAGCTCAAGGACAGCATGAAGGGGAAAAATGGTAGAAATTTGATCCAGCGCTTAGAAAAAGAGAGAAAGATGCCAAAATTCTGATATTGAAAATATGTGCTGTGCCTACCACAGCATCCATTATGGCCTGGAGCATATGGACACCATTTAAATTAGAAACTTTACTGGGACGACAAACTGCAGAAATACTCGTGAAGTGCAAAAATGAGAGGAAGAAAAAAAAGTCCATAATGAGCTCACTCAACTCGTCAAGTATCCACCCAGACACAGAGATACATCAACCCTGCCTGCTGGGAACTGAACTGAGGATGCCAAAGCCAAGTCAGACAATAACAACTCAGCTGTCAGGGGTGCAGAAGATTTTCAAAACAGTGAAGGTGAAACACCAAAAACTAGTTTGTAAGAGCAGAAGCACTAAGAAAGGATATTTAATTCAAGAATATCTAAAGCAGCAGCAAAGTTTAATGGCTATGAGCCTTTGCGCCACAACGTCAGTGCTAAAAAATTAAAATCACAAAAAATGTGCAGTAATTGTATTAGCCAAGTACTATGCAGGCATCCATGTTCAGTCATATAATAAAGAGGAAACAAAATAGCACGAGTTTTCAAATTTTATTGCAGGAAAGCACATAAGGGGTTATTATTTACACTAATCTCTGCATAACCGGAAAGTAGTTCTTCACAGCTTTGTTTACTTGCTAAAAATACATCTTTAAAAAAAAAAACCAAAAAAACAACTGATTTATGAACACAGGTAGCATTTGGCTGCTGCACTAGAATGTTTCACACATTAAGTCTCCCTAGAAAATCATACCAAAGGATTGCTACAAATCATAGGAGGTTCCTCAGTCCACTAAGCCTGGCACACAGAAGTGATGCACAGACACACTTCCCGACAGGAATGCCAGATGGATCACGTTTTAACTAAGTTCTTGTTCCTCCATAGTCCCAGCTCACCTCCAGAAGGGAACACTGAAAAGTTGCTTGACTGCTGCTTAATTGGGAGCATGTTCAGGTACTTCAGCTGATCAGAAAGCCTTTGAGTGCCAAAAGTACTGCTGAATTGAAAAACGTAGATTTTTCTCATCCTGCTAAGTATTGGTTCAGGCCCGGATCACCACATGGAAGCAGATCCTGTAAAGCTTAGTGCGACCTCGTTAGGAATTTTCCTACTGGTACTTGATCATGTTGTTCTTTAAGATGTACAAATGTGCAATAGGAGAGCTGAGTTACATCTCAGGGATGGAGATTGTTTGACTCCATTTCACATAAACGAACAAAAGCCATAACAAACTGCTCTGTTCCTGTAACTCAGCTAAATTCCATGTCCTGCTGACCGAAGTTCTGCTGCTGGCACAAACAGGTTCCTTCTCCTCCTGCACCATGAACAACCTGTGCCCTCCCCAAAGCTGTACGAGCTTCAGTTCAGCTATAGAAGATGTAAACCAGCTCCAGATTTAGCCTATGGCAATTGGCAATTTCCCTCGGAGGTGCAGTTCCCACACAAGAACAATAGTACTTTAGAATATGCTTTTTAACTAAGAAATTAGGTACCAGTGCACAAATGCAAGTTTTAGACACTAAAAAAACAAAACAAAACAAAAAACCTCCACAAAACAAACAAACAAAAAAGACCAAATCCAAACAAACAAACCCCCACAAAACCCTGAACTCCTCAGCTTCACTTAAGAGTACTGTAAAAATAACATTGATTTCTGTGCACAAGCATTTACATAATAAATACATAGCAGAGAATGTACAGGCCTTGGAGAGAAATTTTTGATACATAAAAACTGAAGATATAGCCCAGTGAAATTACTACTGCAATGCTGATTGAGAACTGTCCTGTTTTTGTTAAGTCAATGTAAAAAGACCTGCATTTTCTTGAAATCACTCTTAACTAGCTGAGTAACTCCTGTATTTGTCTGCTGCTGAGGAGACCAACTGTTCTTCAGCAACTTTATTTTGATGTCTGTTTTGGCTTGGTTTGCTCTCTTGGACAGAGCATCTTGTTTTCTTGTAACCCAACCCAGCAATCCCATAAATAG